TTCAGGAAAGATAAACCCATATTATATGATATAAAAATATTAAGATTCTTTTGTTTTCATTTTATAATTGATTTAGATAACGAGGAATTGGAGCTCTCCTAGAATATTTCAGTTGTTTATATTGGCTTTTAAACATGAAGTTGATAGCTCACTATTTTTCTCGACTCTTCTTTCTTTACCAACAACATTACAATGTGGAGATTTTTCTTCTAATCATAAAATTTGGTTTTGCAGATGCTACTTATTTTATCGAAGTTGATCGCTTACTTCGCCCAGGGGGGTTTTTGGTCATATCTGGACCTCCTGTACAATGGCCCAAACAAGACAAGGAATGGTCAGATCTTCAGAGTGTTGCAAGAGCATTATGTTATGAGTTAATTGCTGTGGATGGAAATACCGTCATCTGGAAAAAGCCTGCTAGAGATTCATGTTTTCCTAATCAAAATGAATTTGGCCTTGGATTGTGTAGTGAATCTGATGATCCAAATCGTGCATGGTAATTACTGTTAGAAATCCCATTTTGAACTTGACTTATTGGTGTATGGAAAACTCGTAATAATCCATAAATAAGTGGATCTTTGATATGAATTCGTATTTTTGCAGGTATGTGAAATTAAATAGATGTGTTAGCTGGATGTCTTCTGCCAAGGAAGAGCTCTCCGTTGGGACGATTCCAAAATGGCCAGATAGGCTAGCAAAAACTCCTCCAAGAGCTGGATTTGTGAAAAATGGTCTCGACGTGTTCGAGGCCGACTCTCGGCGGTGGGAAAGGAGGGTTTCTTATTACAAAAAATCTTTAAAACTGAAGCTGGGGACCCCAGCAGTACGCAATGTGATGGATATGAATGGCTTTTTTGGAGGCTTTGCTGCCGCCATAAAATCTGACCCAGTTTGGGTGATGAATGTTGTTCCTTCTCACAAGGCACCCACTTTGGCTGCAATATATGACAGAGGCTTAATTGGAGTCTACCATGACTGGTGAGTTTCAAATTTTTGCTTTAATTCTTTATCGTGGTCCTGCTGCTGTTAATTTTCCTTGTCCATCTTCACTAGCACCAGTGTGAAAACACTCGCACTCTTTATTAACACCAATCGAAAAGAGATCACATAACACTCTGTAGAAACTACTGCACTCTCTACTTTGTATTTCTTTCTGGATGAAAACATACGTAAGGTGGGGGGAATCTCAATCTTTATTCTTAAAATATGTAAATCATTTTACTAAAATAAGTATACAATGAGCTCATACAATTATTGAGCTTGACCCTGATGAGCTAGTGATGATATTTTTACAATTATTGGACTTGAGCCTATCGGACTAGCGATGATATTTTAACATTTTCTAGTGGAAGTAGTCAAGTTTGTTTACTTCTTTTTGAGAGGAGGCCAATATGCAGGTACCCTCACAACTAGGGAGTATCAAATGCATTGTTTATATGTGCAATAACATTTGATGGTTTCAGGTGCGAGCCTTTCTCAACATATCCTCGTTCCTATGATTTTATCCACGTATCTGGAATTGAATCACTCGTTATATATCCAGGTTCCGACAAGAACAGGTACGTATTGTTATTTTCAACCATGAATATATTCTTTGTTTGCATCTTCTCAGTTATTTCACATTCTGCTGCTTCATTTTTTCCCTTGTCTTTTACCTCTAAGTTCGTTTATCAGTCCAAACCTTGAAAACGAAGGCCTTTGGCACAAAAACCAAGAACAGGATATTAACATTATATTAATTCTAATATCCAAAGCTAATCCGAAGAATAGTATTGAAATATTTAGAGGTTGATTTTAAGTGAACTTTTACTTCAAGTTTTTGAATATCATGTTATAATTAAGCTTAGAATGAAGAATATAGAGCTTTATAATCAATCCAAGTAAAGTGAATATTTTGGCTCCTTGTAGATGCAACCTTGTTGATCTAATAGTCGAAGTGGACCGCATCTTACGTCCAGAAGGAACAGTAGTGATTAGGGACCATCCTGAAGTTATCGAAAGGGTAATCCGCATAGCTCGAGCGATAAGATGGACTGCCACGATACACGAAAAAGAACCTGGATCACAAGCAAGAGAAAACATTCTTGTTGCAACCAAAAGCTTTTGGAAGCTACCTTGAACATAGAAATGATATGGTTATATCGTAGTGATGCAGATATTCCTTTTTGGATGCATATTTTAAGTCAATATAGTAAGTGAAAGATTAGAAGATGAAGAAAAGAAGAAAGAAATGGATATATTGTTGGTTCTAGTTCTGAAAATTCCAAAGGTTAGCCGCTAATCTGGTCACCATTGCCAACTTCCTGTATTTGCTATATTCTTTCCTTCTGCAGTAACTTTATTTATAGGGCTTTTGGTAACATAAAGTTACGTGTTCTTTTACGGTGGGAAATGGAGGCAATCCAAATAAAGAATTCACATATGGGGTGTTTTTAAACTCACCTGGTATGTTTCTTTATTCCCTTTTATCATGTACATGTATAATTACCATACTGCCCTTTACGATCCTATTTTGATTCATAAGCTTTCCTATTTATTTCATTCTGATCGGTTGATGATTATTGGGAAATGGGTCCCACATTGGCTAACCAAGGGTCGATCGTGAGTTTATTAGTAAGGAATACATCCTCATTGGTATAAAGTTTTTTTGGGAAAACTAAAAGGAAAACTATGAGAGTTTATGCTCGAAGTCGACAATATCATACCATTTTGGAGGTTGTGATTCCTAACATGATCCTTGCCTTATTTTTTTTTTGTTCATTAATGTTGCATACAATTTTTGTTTGGTAAAAGTTTCGCAGAGCACTATAGAGCTTTGTGTTTTAAGCTTCATACAGTGGGGAATGAATGGATGATTGGCTTAAGGTATGTCCATTTTAATGTTCTATTGATTCATACAAAAAAACGCGTTCTTTAGCAACTTTTTCAAAATGACGGATTTTATTTAGGTGAAATAACAAGTTTAGTCCTTCAACTTTCTCATTTGTGTTATTTAGTCTCTGTACAAATGTTCTCAAAATAGAAAATTGATATGAAACGTCTTCTTTAGCAACTTTTCCAATGGGATACTAGAAAATGATGAGTTTTATTTACGATGAAATTACAAGTTTAGTCCCTCAATTTTCTCATTTGCGTCTTTCTAGCCCCTGTACTTTAAAAAATATCTAATAAGTCTCTCAACTTACCATTCAGTCTCCAATAGGTCCCTATAATATTTAGAAATTTTTTAATGAACTAATCTAATAAATATAAAAAAATCATTTTATGTCTAGCGGGATCTTAAATGTTTGATTTTGTGCTTTATATGTCCATGAGTTTTTAAAAAACGTTGAATAAATCCAGACACAAAATTAAACGTTTGAGACTGACATCTCTTAAAATTATTTATTTATTTAAATGCAAATAATTTCTCCCTCCCCATGCCATGTTGCTATCCTTCATACCTTAGATCTGGTACAAAGTATGGGCTTTAACTTAACTTACCATTCTCTCTATATATATCTATATATATATATAGATAATAATAATAATTACAAAGGTTATTAGGGAAAAAAGGTTAAACAAATAATAATAAAAAAAAGCAAATATTAATGAAAATGAAAATTGGATCAACAGACCACTCCCCATCAAATTGCAAGTAATCTTTTTGTTTTTTCTAAACTCTTCAACTACATAGAAATTAAAATAAAGTCCCTAAAATAAAATTTATTTTCACGGATAATTAAAAAAAAATGAGGGTTTTCATCATTTATTAAGTTTTATTAATTAATAATAATAACAATGTAGATTTAATGATTAGATGCTAATTAATTATTTGTTATTTTAATCTTTAATATTAAAAACAAGGTTACTGTTCAGTTACTGATCTGTATCCTCCCACAAATCATGAGAATTAATTAGTTTATTTATTTATTAAATTTTCCATTCAAAGTTTATTATTTAAACCTTCTCATTAACATATTTTAAAAGAATTATATTTATTGCAAGCCAATATTTATTTATACCTCCAAATTAATTGAATATTCATTTATTTGAAATTTGAGTTTGAATTTTTATATTTATTGTACTAAAAAAAATATATATTACTATCTTGAACTGAATTTGTAATTTAAATAATAAAGTATGGTAAAGCAAATCTTTACGATGTTGTCTTCCACACACGTTTGTTCTTATCAATTAACTTCTCAACGGGTTAAGGAAGGGTATTCATATGACTAGATGACCGGTCTATACTGGTTTATATATATATATATATATTTATTTATTTATTTTCAGTTGGGTTAGGTTGAATTTTAAAAAACAAATAAAAAATAAAAATTGGGTTAGTTCATGGGTTGACTTCTTTTTTTGTTGCAACTGGACCCAACTCTATTTGTGAGAGTATTATAACAAAAATTAAGAATATTTAATGTTTATAACTAATGTTAGTGATGTATCCCTCGGGACCAACAAGGGGTAGTACAAGAATATTCACCTGTTGTCTATCGACTACGCCTTTCGGCCTGATCTTAGGCCCTGACTCACCCTCCGTGGATGAACCTTGCGGAGGAACCCTTAGGTTTTCAGGGCATTGGATTCTCACCAATGGATTCTCACCAATGTTTGCGTTACTCAAGCCGACATTCTCGCTTCCGCTTCGTCCACCACTGCTCGCGCGGGTGCTTCCCTCTAAGGCGGAACGCTCCCCTACTGATGTATTTTTACATCCCACAGCTTCGGCAAATCGCTTAGTCCCGTTCATCTTCGGCGCAAGAGCACTCGATCAGTGAGCTATTACGCACTCTTTTAAGGGTGGCTGCTTCTAGGCAAACCTCCTGGTTGTCTGTATCAAGTTAGACGACCGTATACTATACTAAAAGGTAGATTGTGGGATTAAATAACTTTTTTTTTTTTTTTTTTACTGACATTTAACAGGGAGATGGTGACTTGAACTGTAATCCTTTTTTACACTGCAAAAATTACAGACGGAGAGAGAGAAGAAGAAAGAAAGGCTTCAAGTACTCCACATCTCTCTCTCCCTTTATCCATTTTCTCCCAATTTTAGGGTTTCTCTTTCTTCTTCCTCAAGCTTTTTCCCTCCCCCTTTCATGCACGCTTCGCCATTGTTCTCCTCCAACAGAGGACAATCACTCCATTCCCAATCATAATGGGTTGCCTAACTCTTCTTTCCATTTCCTTCTTCTTCTTCTTCTTCTTATGATTATTTATTGATCTCTTCTTCTTCTTCTTCTTCTTCTTCTTCTTCTTCTTCAGTTCACGGCCTCGATCTGAATCTCCGCTTTCTTCATGAGTTCCGCACCACGATTCGACTCTAGTAGTGCTCACGGCGGCGGCATCGGCGGTGGACACGGCACTCTTATGGCCTCCGGTGCAATTGCTCACCCACGTCTTGTTACTCAGTCTTCTTTCTCCAAATCCATGTTCTCTTCCCCTAGACTCTCTCTCGCTCTTGTACTGTTCTTTCCTTTTTTTTGTTTTCTTCGCTAAATCTTTCTTTTCAAATCTGTATTTCGAGTTTTCGTCTGATTTTCTTTTTGTTTAGACTAATATCGATGGTTTCGGCGCCGGGGAGATGATTTCGGCGGATGCTGGTTTTGAGGAGAATGTGAGGAGGAGGAGAAGAGAGGAAGAGGCCACGGACAGCAGATCTGGTAGTGATAACATGGACGGCGGCGGTGGTTCTGGCGACGATCTGGACGCCGCTGTCGGCGATAATCCTAGGAAGAAGAAGCGGTACCACCGTCACACTCCGCAACAAATCCAAGAACTCGAAGCGTAAGATTAAAACTCTTGTTCGATTCATAGAGATGTTTTTCCTTTTTTGTATGATAGTTTCAGCGACTGAATTCAAATGACTTTGAGAAATCACGCTTTGATTTGAATCAGTATGTTCAAGGAGTGTCCTCATCCTGATGAGAAACAAAGATTGGAGCTCAGTAGAAGACTGTCTTTAGAAATAAAACAAGTTAAATTCTGGTTTCAAAATCGTCGAACTCAAATGAAGGTCAGAAAAAACCCCCAAATCAATAGAACAAAACGTTCCTGGTTGTTTTCAATTCCATTTCTGATTGAGAAAATTTACAGACGCAACTGGAACGCCATGAAAACACATTACTAAGACACGAGAACGAGAAGCTCCGAACAGAGAACATGGCGATTCGAGAGGCGATGAGAAGCCCAATCTGCTCAAACTGCGGCGGACCGGCTATCATCGGAGAAATCTCCTTAGAAGAACAGCAACTCCGAATCGAAAACGCTCGATTGAAGGACGAATTGGACCGGGTGTGCGCTCTAGCCGGAAAATTCGTGGGGAGGCCGGTTCCAGTATCACCGTCATTGGAGGAATATGGAGGTGGAATGATGATGATGGAGAGATGCGTGTATTTGGAAATGGCCTTGGCGGCCATGGATGAGCTTGTGAAAATGGCGAACGGGGAAGAACCACTGTGGATTGGAGAAAAACTGAACGAAGAAGAATATTCGAGAATGTTCAGCGGCGGTTGTTTTGGTGGCTTCGTTTCTGAAGCTTCCAGAGAATCTGCTCTCCTCTTCCTCCACTCTTCTGCTCTCCTCGACACTCTAATGGAGGCTGTGAGTCCATCCTCCTCTCTAGTCCCTATATTTAATGAAATTACGATATTACCCTTCACCTTTCGTAAAATTACAGTAAAAAACCAAACCGGTTCGAGTTCAACTCAACTCGGTTGGGTGATTTCAGTTTTCATTACAAAACCCGAAAATCAGGTTTAGTGGTCTAATTAGTTAAGCTTAGCATTGTGTAAGTAAGGTTTAGTGGTCTAATTAATTATATTATTATTTACGCTATTGTTAATGTTTGCACAAATAGAACCGGTGGGTGGAGATGTTTCCGAACTTGATTGCGACGGCGACTACCACCGACGTAATCTCCGGCGGAATGGGAGGAACCCGAAACGGCGCTCTTCAATTGGTAATTGATTATTTATAATTTGGTATGTGATTTAAGAATAATTTAAATAATTAATAGTTGTATGTAAAACACGAATCTAGATGCATGCGGAGCTTCAAATTCTGTCTCCCATGGTTCCGGTGAGACAATTAAATTTCCTCCGCTTCTGCAAGCAGCATGCCGAAGGCGTTTGGGCGGTTGTTGACGTCTCCATCGATCCCATTACCGATACTTCCTCTCCGCCGTGCCGGAGACTCCCCTCCGGCTGCCTCATCCACGACATGCCCAATGGCTACTCCAAGGTTGTCATTTTTACAACCAAATTCCTTTATTTTGATTCGTTATTCTGAAAATGGTTTATATTAGGTTACTTGGGTTGAGCATTCTGAATACGATGAAAGCCAAATTCATGAGCTGTACCGACCCCTTGTCCGCTCCGGCCTTGGCTTTGGCGCGCGACGGTGGATCGCCACCCTCCAGCGCCAATCTGAAGCCCTCGCCACCCTCCTCTCCTCCCCATCTGACCAGTCCGGTAAATATTGGAGTTTTCTCTTTTTTCCCTTTTTCGGTTGAGTTATAATGAATTGTTTTGTTTGTAGGGATATCCGCCGACGGACGGCGGAGCATGGTGAAGCTAGCGCAGCGGATGACAGCAAATTTCTGCACAGGAGTATGCGCATCAACGGTGTACAAATGGAACAAGCTGAACACGGGCAATAACAATGTTGGAGAGGATGTGAGAGTGATGACAAGGAAGAGCGTGGAGGATCCAGGGGAGCCGCCAGGGACGGTGCTGAGTGCAGCAACGTCGGTGTGGGTGGCGGCGACAGCAGAGAGAGTGTTTGAGTTTCTTCGTGATGAGCGACTGAGGAGCGAATGGGACATTCTGTCCAACGGCGGCCCCATGCAGGAAATGCTCCATATCCCCAAAGCCCATCACCATCACCATGCCAACGCCGTCTCTCTCCTCCGTGCCACCGTATTTTCTCTCTCTACCCTCTTCAAAATTCAAATAATAAATTTCATAATTCCAACCCCACTAATGGGGTATGATCATCAGAAGAAGAAAAAAAAGTTTTAAAAAAATCTTGACGAATATAGAATTTGGAACTATCTATGGCGACAGAATTCAGAATTTAGAAATATCTGTGCTCCTCCAGCCTTTTGATCTGACTCTTGAAATCATATCATCATCGTTTTAAATTAAAAAATAATAATAAAAAAAAATCTTACAAAAAGTCAAAGCCTCAGGCCGGTTTGTCAGATTTTCTGACACAAAATTTCTTTTCTTCCAGCAGTCTCTAAATCCAAACCAGAGCAGTATGCTGATTCTCCAAGAGACCTGCTCCGATGCATCTGGGTCGCTTGTAGTGTACGCGCCGGTGGATATTCCGGCAATGCAGGTGGTGATGAACGGCGGAGACTCGGCCTACGTGGCTCTACTACCGTCGGGGTTCGCGGTGGTACCGGCGGCGGAGGATTGTGGCGGTGGGAGCCTGTTGACGGTGGCGTTTCAGATATTGGTGAACAGTTTACCCACGGATAAGCTGACGGTGGAGTCGGTGGAGACAGTGAATAATCTGATATCGTGTACGGTAAAGAAAATTAAAACCGCTCTCCGGTGTCACGAGCTTTCCACGTGACCACCCAGAGGATCACTTGGATTTGGACCCGACGGAAACGGACTCTGCTACGGTTAGGATTTTACCTTTCTGACCTTGAAGTTTGTGTAAGTTTTTCTCTTCCCCTAAATTACAAAAACAAAATCCCTAAATTTTGACTTTTTATTTAAAAAAATATTATTATTCTTTCAAAATTATTATATTATTCTTATACTCTGTCTAAACGTTTCAAAGCTATTTACGAAGAAGGAATTCTTTGAAATTTTGAACGAAAATTTGGACGTAAAATAGTGACCGAATTCCAATTTTCGTCTAATATCAAAGAATTTCTACCTTAACAATAGTTTTGAAAAGTTTTACGAAGGGTGAAAGGATATTATTGTCAATTTTAAAAGAATAAAAATATTTTTTAAATAAAAGACAAAAGTTTATGATTTAGCTTTGTAATTTAGTTTTTTTTAATTAATTAAATGTTTATTATTATTTAAGTGGTGGGTGGGTGAGCAAAATGTTGGGGTAGTATTGAGTCAAGAACGAACAGCTAGTGCATTGAGTTTGACTTAGTCAGCGGGTTCGGGCATTGACTCGGGTCGACCCTCGTGTTGACTCATTTCTCTCTAATTATGAAATTCTTTTTCTCTATTTATTTGTATAGATAATTTGAATGGATTGATAGTTGACACGATCGGTCGAGTCGAGCTCGAGGGCATAAAGGTAAATAGGCTTGGAAGATGAAAAGATATAATAGAAGTTATAAACAAATGGTAGAGAAGGTAGGTAACGAGATGAGATTATAAATTATAATGCTGTTGGGAGGTGGTGGAGAGAGGTGGCGGTGGGGCCGGCGAGGGGCGTGAGCTGGATGTGGCGGAGGTGGCGGTGGGGCCGCCGTGGGGTGTGCCTGTGAATCCCAGCAGCATTTAATGCCTGCTCTGCCCTTCGGACAAACCCCTCACCCTCTCATTTAATGCCCCTAACTTTTCATTTACTATAGCTTATCCAATACTCCTCTGCCACGTGTATCTTTAGAGAGAGAGAAAATACTATCAACATTGAGGAGAGAGATTATTTGCTAATTTTATATTTTAATTTTCTGTTTAAAATTCGAAAAAACATTTAAATTTAATAAATTTTTACTTTTAATTTTTATATTTAATATATTAACAAGTCCAAGCAAATTGGGCTTCTTATTCCTTCTTGTAATTTAGTAAATAAATTTTATATTATGTCTATTTAAATCTTAAAAAAATTCAAATAAACGTTGAAACTGTGTCCACGTATGGTTTATTATTATTATTATTTAGGCCCGAATTGATAATTATTTATATTTTATTTATTATTTCTTAAAATAAAGTTTATGATATGTCCACGTATGGTTCGTATCCAACTATATAAAAATATTTTAAAAAATCAAACCAATTTTCGGAAATTAGTTTTAAAATTTTTATTTTATTTTTTGAATTTTACTTGAAATTTAAATATGTTTTTTTTAATTAATGTGACAATATTACCAAAAAAAAAAACATAATTTTTAAATACAGAAAATCAAATTTGTTATTAAAAAAATTTTAAATTAAATAATTAAACCACTCCCCTGGTTTGTTTTTATTTATTTTTAGATTTATCAGATTTCCGCTGTAATTTAAAATTTTAATTTCCACCATTTTTTTGTTGTTCATCCGCGTTGACTGAAAACTGACAATTGGTTTTTCGTATAACGAACCCTGGATGATTTCCAAATTCTCATGATTTTCGTGCAAAGTTGTCTTCGTTTCTGTCGCATTTCGTCACCGTTTCGTTCTTGAAAAAGCTCTCTGTAAGTTCCTCAATCCCTCCAATCAATTCCATTCCGATTTCCAACTCTGACAGATTCTTCATCTTCTCCCAATTTTCTCTGCGGTCCCAGTTCCTTCTTCGTTCTTGATCTGTCGAACCCGGAATTTCAGATTCCCTTCATTCTGATTGTTCAGGATAAGTTCAATTTGATTCGTTTCGCAAAACCCCTTTCTCTTCCTCTTCTGAATGATATATTTGGAGTTTTGTGATTGCATGCCCTAATTTTCGCTCTGAAAGTAGAAAGTTCGTTGTTCGAAGTTCTAATCGCTAGGATGCGTAATTCGATCCCACAGCCTTCTTCTCCCATCCGTGCGGTGGATAATTCGCCTCTTCTCGCGCACTCCGTCGCCGATGGCCTTTTCCGTTCGCGAGGGTTTATTCGCCGTTCGCCTCAACCTCTTCGCGGAGCGGTTCGTCTTCTCCGCCGTGCAAGTGGCCGGCAGATGATGCTTCGAGAATCCTCCGTTCGTGTCCGCGAGAACGCCGCGGAGCAGCTGGAGGAGCGCCAGAGCGATTGGGCGTATTCAAAGCCGATTATCCTTTTGGACCTTCTGTGGAACTTGGCCTTCGTCGCCATTAGTTTCACTGTCATAGGGCTCAGCACGAGTGAAAAACCTTCAGTGCCGCTCAGGTTTTGGATCATTGGATATGCTTTGCAGTGTATAATTCACATGTCCTGTGTAGCTACAGAGTATAAGCGGCGGCGCTCAACGAGAGAGCTAGTCGGATCGGACCGTAGCGGTGGCTGGACGAGCAGCGAGGATTCAAATTCGATATCTGGAAGCGATGGCGATGATTATGCGACCGAGCTCACTGTGAATGACGATGAACCGAGGTAAATGCAATGATCATTTGCCATTTTCAGTGTACTGAACTATAAGGGTGTTTGATTATCAATCTAGCTTTTAACTGTTTTCTTTACATTTTGGATAGCAATCTTGTGAAGCATATTGAGTCTGCAAATACCATGTTCTCTTTCATTTGGTGGCTGTTGGGCTTTTATTGGGTGACTGCTGGAGGCCAAGAATTGATAGATGATTCACCTCAGCTATACTGGTCTGGTTTCTTAGTTCTCAAACCAATGGTCTTTTAATACTCTGTTTGTTCGTTTTCTTATCGATTTGCTCGTTTACGTTGCAGGCTTTGTATTACATTCCTTGCTTTCGATGTCGTATTTGTTCTGATTTGTGTTGCCATTGCGTGTCTTGTTGGTGTTGCAATTTGCTGCTGTCTGCCTTGCATAATTGCCATCTTGTATGCGGTTACCGATCAGGTCGTTTTCATATGTTTTGGTTCGATCGTCTGGTTTTTGTTCATTGTTTCTTTGACTTAGCTTGTTGTAAATGTGCATAATACTATTGGGTGTTGTTTTTATAGATGAAACATTTGCTTGTACATAGCGTTTTAAGAGGGACTATCGTGAATTCTTGTTAATTATCCATGGAAATGTGAGATCCCATGTCGGTTGGAGAGAAGAATGAAACATTCCTTATAAGGGTGTGGAAACCTCTCCCTAGTAGACGTATTTTAAAACCTTGAGAGAAATTCTGAAGGGAAAGCCCAAAGAGAACAATATCTGCTAGCTGTAGGCTTGAGCTGTTACAAATGATATCAAAGCCAGACACCGGACAGTGTGTCAGCAAGGACGCTGGCTCCCAAGGGGGTGGATTGTGAGATCCCACATCGGTTGGAGCGGGAACGAACTTGTTGGGCCTTCAAGGGGGTAGATTGTGAGATCCCATATCGGTTGGAGAGGAGAACGAAACATTCATTATAAGGGTGTGGAAAACCTCTCCTTAGTTGATGCGTTTTAAAAACCGTGAGGCTGACGGCAATACGAAACCGGCCAAAACGGACAACATCTACTAGCTGTGGGCTTGGGCTTGGGCTTGGGCTGTTACAGGAAAGCTAGTTGATGCTCGAATATGTTCCAATTTGGATTCACTCTCTCATGTCTGAACTATAAATTTGGTGTTTGTATATCTGGTCCTCTAGTACAGTCTTTTGTCACAAGTAAATGTTTTTGTTCTGTCGTGTGTTGGTTCGGGAAGCCAGTCAATATTTGATCGATAAAGCGATCACATAGGTTCTGTTGGAGTTATTTTCGACTTATGCTCCGGCGTTACGGTGTAGTCTAGGATGGAGAATGATCTTGCAGATATATCTGCTTAACATTTTATAATTGGCATACATGGTGTGCTTAATTGTTGCTATTATGAACTCACTCTGTTTCATTTCTGTCCACAACAATCAGGAAGGAGCTACTAAGGAAGAGATCGAACGCTTACCGAAGTACAAATTTAACAGAACGGGTGATGTCGAGAAAGTGAATGGTGATATTCAAGAATCTACCGGAGGAATGATGACTAAATGTGACACTGATGCACCGACAGAGCGTTTTCTTCGCTCGGAGGATTCTGTAAGTTTTTCAAACACTGTTCTTCAAATACTGTATGATTCTTTCATAAAACGGCTCCATTGTGGTAATTGATGGAGCAGACATTGAAATCAAACAAGTTTCTTCCTTTTTCCTAACAAAAAATGTTATGATCAGGAGTGTTGCATCTGCCTCTCTGCTTACGAAAACGGAACCGAGCTACGAGAACTTCCCTGTAACCACCATTTTCACTGCAACTGCATCGACAAATGGTTGCACATGAATGCTACCTGCCCTCTCTGCAAGTTCAACATCTTGACGCCCAACGGTTGCGGTAGCGAAGAAGTGTGACGAAGTGTACGAGCCATGAAACACAGACGCGAAACTTAAAATCATGTTTTGGCTTTGACGGCCAGTCAATGAAGGGACCATATTTGAAAGGATCCTCCAGGTGAAGAGAGTTTGTTCGGAAGCTGCTGCTTTTGTTTAGTTCATGTTCGTACGTGTGTGTGTATATATATATATATATATATATATATATATATATATATGCGTGTGTGTATGTGTGTTATTAGGCTAAAAACAAATGTTGAGTTTTTGTTCCAAGTCTTGTAAACTGTTGTAATGACAATGCTACGTTCTCAATACTCACATATCTATATATATAAAGAATGTAGCGACCAACTTTCTTCATACTAGTCGGTCAAAGACGTTATTTAACACTAAAAGTTTATAATTAAGTTTGATGCGGAAGCATCTTAAACAGAGAAAATGCGTCTTTGAATTTGTCTCTGTATGCTTAATTCCAATTATTGAAGTGTCCTAAGTTTACTTCACTTTTTATCCTAACAAGAGTTCGACCCATAAATTTTTTATTTTTTTTTAATACGTGACTATATCTAATATAGTGTAATTATGGAGTTGTCTCATGATCGGGTTGCCCACCCTGGTTGTCACTTTTGTCGAAGGAAGATATGCAAACTATCATACAATTAACTTAGTGATTTTTGGTGATTGATTACTCGATACACACAACGTTTAACATTTGTCACGAAAATAATTATCAACAATTACCTCACGTGACAAATAGTGGCAGCATATTATGCTCCTTGTATTCATAAATCATAACATATAACAAAACTTCCAACTTAGGCATGCTTGGGATTTCCCTTTCGAACGGTACTACTAGCAATATGAGACAACATTGGCTGCAGTCGGTCTCGTACACGAGTAACTACAGCAGCGGACGTTGGTGATGGCAGTCACGGTGGCGCAACGAAGCTTCAAACTCTCCTTGTTGGTTGTAGACAGCGACGAGGGCGAGCGGTCCCGCGATGGTCGGGTGGGAGAACTGTGATAACGCTGGTGTGGAAAAGTTGCAGCGACAATAACAAAGGAGAAGGGAGCGGCGATATGCGAAGGAAGAAAAGAAGATAGATGGTGGTAAAATTTTCATTGATATGCTAATAATATTAATATTTTTTATTATCTAATTTAGATTTTCATTTATTGTGCACTAAAAATAATTAAATGAGAAAAAGAGAGGGTTTCATTTATTTTGTCCTTCACGATTTTTTATCGCCACAAGTCTACAAAGAATATTCCTTTTGGAATTTAAAAATATATATAAGAAAAATAGAAAAAAAGAATAAGAATGTTTTATCAAATATATTTATATATACATCACAAAGAATCGTATAAAAAGAATTGATTTTCAGTAATTTTAAAAAGAAATTTATAATCGACCTCGATAACCAACGCTCCATATCGGAACACCGGTTACGACTCCGCCGCCGCCGTGGAATTTTCCTTGCGGCATCGGCAACGGAACCGGAGCTCCAATCCCCTGCTTCTGCAACAAAGAATGCTCAACTCCTGCCGCCATCTTCACTCTCACCGACAAGTTAACAATTCCATTCCTCTCGCCTCTCTCATCTCTCAACCTGTAACTCAAAAACTGCAGATGATTTTCCGGCAAGTATCCGGCGATAAAATCCGCCACCGGAACCCTAGCCGTCGCGACGATGTTGATCTTTCGCCCCGAAGATCTACGACAAACCTCCACAACCAGAAACCTGGAGTGCATTGGGAGATCGACGACGAGCTTCTCGTTCCACCGCGGAAATCCAGCGGCGTCGCGGTCGATTTTCGTGCTTACAGAGTCGTTCTTGTTGTGAAGATCAGATCGAACAGTGACGAACACATCGCTCTTGATCAGCTTTCCACGGACTTGCAGATTCTCTCCCGATATCACAGTGATTTCGATCGTTCGTGAAGAAATATTAGCAGACGCCATAACAAGGATTGAACAATTGCAGAATCGAGAAAGAAGAAATTGAAGAAAATCAGAGATGGAGGTTAGGGTTTTAAAAGTTTTTGTTGGATGGAAATGGAAGCTTGAGAGAAAGGGGGAAGAAGAAGAGAGGGTGCTTCTGGAAAAAAACGTGTTGGCTCAACGTTTACTAAAGCGACCGGGCTGTGGATTTACACGGATGACAGACAAATGACGTGGAACTGAGTCGAAAGTTCATTGGACTGTTATGTAACAGGGGAGAAAATTCAGCGCGATTTTCAAATTCAAAATCGCCGTGTAGAAGGAAACCATCGCTTTGGAATTCCAGGCCCAATAGATGCCCATTCTCCACGGAATTCCCATGCGACCGGAATTTACTTATTTGTCCTTCTATTTTAATTTCCATTTTTCACCCTTTTTTTAAAATTTTAAATTGCTAAACTCATTATCTTTTTCAAATAAATATTTATATTATTAGTTAAATGTAAAAATAAAAGCAATAATTTTTAACTATATATTTTTTAATTAAATAAAATTAATACAAATTTAAATATTCAAAAACATAAATCAAAATTTATTTTTCTATTCTAATTTTAAAACAAATATTTCAAATATTTCAAATCTTTAAATAGATCTTATTTGAACAATTCTAACATCGACTTAGACTTTAAATATTTTAAGTATTATTTTAAAAGGATATTTAAATTTTTTATAATTAATGTTTAGCAGTGAATAAAAAAATTAATTAAGAATTAAATATAATAGTATTTTAAAAATGGTTTGAAGCTATTGATAAATCCACCTATTTATTTATTTAGGTTAATAAACAAAAAAAAATTATTTATTTTTTTATGAATATTTAAGTATTCTTTGATTTTTATTGGTAGAATATTTCCACTATTGAATAGGTCAGAAAAACATTTATAAATATAAAATTATTTTATATATTCACTATTTCAATTTATAAAATTTTGTCCTTTTAAAATAATCCTTCATATTTTTATTGAGATAATCATGTGGTAAACAAAGCTTACATTATATCTACAATATTTATAATTACTTTTTTAATTTAAAATTAATGGTACAAAATTTCAATAGAAATGGAGTGAAAATTAATGGTAGCATACCCATTTTAAAACTGAAGAATTGTCGGTGGGAGAGGAGAACAAAACATTTAAGTATATGGAAACCTCTCCCTTATAGAAACGTTTTCAAACCAGGAGGTTGATTTCGCACCAAAAAAGATACGTAACAGGCCAAAACATACAATATCTATTAGGAATGAGACTAACTAAAGTATGTAACAGACCAAAATGAATAATATCTACTAACAGTAAACTTGAATTATATATATATATATATATATATATATATATTAATTATGGACGGATTTTGACTTGCTCCTTGGGAAAGATCATTGCAATAAAGACAAAGAAGGATATGGTTGATTGACCCAAGTCGTCGATTTCTACTGATGGACAAACTCATAATGAATTTTTGTTTTTATTTTCATTTAATAAAATACTAATTACAATTTGAAAAAGTCAAGCATAATATAAAAAATAGAGATTTAATATAAATTCAAAATATTATTTGAACTAAAAAGTAATTTTAGTCCATTAATTTTTAGGGCCACTTCATTTTTTTTATTTTTATGAAATATATATTTTAAATCTTAATTTAAAATTTAAAATTTTTTTGTAATTGAATATATGTATATTTTATGTTAAAAATTATAAAACTAAATGCTATTTTAAATGAAAAATATTTATTTTTAAATACCTATTTATATTATTATTTTAAAGAAACGGTGAAGCATATTCTAGGCAATGGCATAGCAACAGCAATGATATATAAATAAGGAATTTAAATAAAATAACTGTCAGGATGGAATTCCTAGCATTGGCGTGGTGACCTATGTTGGGGTGACGTTTTTTGGGCGATGTAATTAACGCCTTTGCAAGTTTTTTTTTTTTTTTTTTCATTTATTTTTAGATTATTCTTTTTTTACGTTCTTTAAAACTTGGTAATTTCCAAAACAAAAATTTTAACATTATAATATACTCTAGTGGGTGGGATAGAGACTGATAATATAATCCCGCGTTCGTTACCTTTTGTCTGTGTTTAGCTAATAGAGAAAAATATCTTTTTTACTCATTTCTTAATTCTCCGCTCTGTTCTGATATAGTTCTACAGGACATTAATCTTGGGAGTTAAATAAACATCTCGAGTATCAGAATACGCTAATTAACGAAAAAAATAATGTCAACGACCATAATGTTATCGAGCTCAAACCTATAAAATAAAACGAAATTCGTATATTATTCTAGACAACATCTGGATGACATCATACATTTGACCAAATCACAGCCGTTCATTTGTCTTGACTTTATTCTCCATTGAATAGTCCAATCCAAAAGCTGAAGTACAAAATTTATATGGCTGTATATCTTGACTTGTTCCCCTGCGAGTTTTCTTGGCACATTGGAGCTTTTAATGAAGTCAATTCCTTTCCACTTTTTTAAATATATTTAATCCCTATTATTTTTTTAATAATTAAAGTCTTGCAATTTATTAATGAAAATTAGAAGTTAAATCATGTTTAATTAAAAAAATCACGGTCTTTATTAATTACTAAATTAAATTAAATATGGGGCCGTGGAATTTTGGATATTAATAATAATAATAATCATTAAAAAAAAAAAGAACAATATGGATGGTTTAAACATTATCATTATTTATCACCGAAAAAAGTTAATATTTTATTTTTATTGACTCTAATAAACGACAGCCGACAATTTAATTTCCAATTAAATTCCAATTTCACACGTCTTTTTCTCCTCCTTTTATTTTTATTTTTATCGCTAAATTTCTATTATAATTTTAATTATTTAAAATTTCAAAAATAGAACTGTTAATAGAAATTGTCTATTTATAGTCGTCGTTTAATAGTTTTAAAACGCATCTATTAATAAGAGGTTTGTGCGCACCTGTGTGAACAATGCTCCCGTTCTTTTACAAATATAAATTATAGAAATTAAATTAAAATTCAAAAATAAAAATATAATTTTTAAAAGTTTAGGGACAAAATTATATATTTTTTTCAATCATAAAATAATAATCTCATTTATAAAAAAGAAAAAAAAAGAGGCGAAAATAAGGATATAAATAATTATTATATACTTTTACATTTAAAAAATATTGATAATAAATAAACATTTTATTTCTTCCACAGATATAATCTAAAAAATTGATTTATTAATTTACAATTACTCTCCATTTCTGTCTCAAGTCCGTCAGCCTCCAAACGTCATCGTTTGTGACGTCTGACCAGTAAGCTGATCGTTTTTTCCCCAAAATTCCAACCGGAATTCGCCTATAAACTCCCTCCAATTTCTCTCCGACAGCAGAATCTTTGTTTTTCGGTGAGAGAAATTTTGTTCTGGTCAATTTCCATGGCGACGACGTCGTCTCGGAGTATTGAAATCACCGTCATCTCAGGGGAGGATTTAAGAATCGATCGGAAAAGTGTGAAGAGGAAGACATTCGTTACTGTGAAATTCGATCGCCAGAGCATCGGCGGCGGCGGCGGAAGAACGGAAATTGATGAGCGAGGCGGATGTTATCCGTTCTGGAATGAGAAAATGTTGATGGAGATTCCGGTGGATGCAATGTTTTTGACGATCGAGGTGCATTGTGGATCTATTTCCAGGAACAGGATCGTCGGAACGGCGAACGTTCCGGTATCGGATTTTCTCGGACGGTATAGACCGGAAAATTATTTGCATTTACTGAGTTATCGATTGAGAGATCGATGTGGTGAACGAAATGGAATTGTTAACATTTCGGTGAGAGTTAGGGCACTGGAATCGGAATCGGAACCGGAACCGGCGCTAACTTCCAAAGCAATGGTTGGAGTCCCGGTGGCGGAGACGGCGAGTTCCCGCCGGATTTTCGGTGGCGTAGTGATCGGCGTTCCTCTCTGGAGTTCTTACTCTTAATCTTGATGGATTTCCCGATTATTTGGACTTTTTTAAAAACAAAAATAATTAGGAGAATGGGCTATTAATGAAATTAATTTCACAAATGTCTAGAGATTTAAATATTTTAATTAGGATATGTCTTTAAAGAAATGAAGCGGTTACCGAAGGGTTAAATTGTAATTAACTATCCATTTAAGTCTCATTTAATAATTATCTATTTAGTTATTTGTTTTATTTTTTAGGAGATGCTTTGGGCCTTCTTATTGGGCTTGGGACATAGTTCTATGCTAGCCATAACGACGACGTTTGAAGGAATAAAAAGCAGGAAATTAAACGACGTCGTTCGGTGACATTTCTGAAAGTGGTTTATCCATCTGGTTTCTTAAAGTAATTACGGCCGCGGCCTCATTCCATCAAACTCTCATTTCTCTCCTGCGCTTCACCTTGAAGCTTAATTCTCTCTGGCTGACTAATCCGAAGCCACGACGGTGGTTCTCGTTTCAGATGCTCTGCCGGTCAGACGGGATTCTTCACTCGGCTTGGCAGGCTGCTCAAGGAGAAGGCCAAAAGCGATGTCGAGAAGGTCTTCTTTGGCTTCTCAAAGACTCGTGACAACCTTTCTGTTATCGATGAGTTTCTTCTGTACTGGAACCTCGCGGAAATCGACGGAGTTCTCGACGAACTCGAAGAGGTCTGTATTCTCTTTAGTTTTATGTTTGTGTCAATGAAAGGAAAATAGTTATGATCATGAGTTATTGGATTATTTGAACTTAAATTCGTGAAAACTAATCTACTATTATCTTAAGCTTTCTTTTCCAGAGTGTGAATTCAACCGAGGTGTAATGCGATTTTAGTTTATATTTTTTTCTTCTCGTAATCATTTCTCAGGTCCTTATTTACGAGAATGAACCTAAATCCTATACTCTTTCAGAACTGAAATTTTGTATGGCTCGAATGTTTTGTAATTTGGCTATGCCGTTATATATTGATAAAGGCAGGTACTGCTTTTACTATTGGAGTCTTTTGAAAAATCATTCGTGAGGCGAATAAAAAACTATAACTAATCGTTGTGTTGAAAATTTTGTAGGCATCATTGGTGCCTGATTTCAGGCAAATGATCGCACCATTAAGATCGTGGAGAGCTTGCGTGACCACATCAGCAGGAAAGCTTTAATCGAGTAGTGAAACAAAGGTAATTAGTTCCAAATTGTTTGAATGCTCTGCTTTCTAAGATAGAAAATTTTACCACACGCAATGAATTAATAATTATTAAGTTTACAGTTAAATCCAGCACTAGTGGCACAACTGAGAAATTTAGATGTCTTTTCATTTTGAAGAAGTTTCACTTGCCAAGATTTTATCTTTCATTAATAGCTTAGTCAACAACATAGTAAAGCTATATATGTTAGTAAATAATAAATAGGCATGTATAGTAAAAAGATAGTAAATAGTTATATAGTAGATGGTTATATCCGTTAAAACTATATGTAGTAAACGGTAGAGCTATGAAAATGTACACTTATTCTTTGTATTTTCTCACATACTTGAAGTCATCAATACAAATCTTTTAGCCAGAGTTCTCCTTGCATTTTCTCTATCATGTTCTTTGTGTTCATCTCGATCGAGTGTTCTCTGTATTCTCTCACATTCTTGAAGTCATCAATACAAAATACTTGAAGTCATCAATACAAAATACTTGAAGTCATCAATACAAATCTTTGAGCCAGAGTTCTTGCATTTTCTCTATCTTATTCTTTGTGTTCAGATCGAGTGTGTGCATTGTTGTGTGATTCTAACAAGGCAATATGATAAAAGAGATGGAATTCTATATTTCCATATCCAAATAATCTGCAACGCTTGATCAACCTTGTAATACATTGATCAAAATGATCCTAGGATGCATTAGAGAAGAATGTTTTGGCGTTTTCGACAGGGAAGGGAGCAAAACTGACCTTCAACTCTGATTCCGGTTTGCTTTCTTTATAGCTTGATGGAAGAGTTAATAGCATGTAAGAAAGCTGTTGGCAAAGTTATTTCATGTAAGCATTACTATTTTATTCATCCTACCTTGTCTCTCTTCTCCTTAAATGCTTTTGGCTGTTAGCTGGCGGTGTTAAAATCAGGGCTGCGAACCATGATATTGGTTTGCAATAATAGAAGCACAGAAGTTGTCGCTGCCTGCCATTCTTTTTGCTGAGCATGTGGACATGTAGAATGCTGAAAAAATGCATGGTTTTCTTCTCGTGGTTAATTGGTGAGTGGACTGGTAATTGCCCTCGTCCTCGGTAGATATTGTCTTTTTTTTTTTTTTTTTTTACTTTCATTTTTCGGACTTCCTCTCAAAATTTTGAAAACGCATCGGTTAGAAAGAGGTTTCCACATCTTTATACGGAATGACTTCGTTCCCTTCTTCAACCAATATGAGATCTCACTATCCATCGAGACCATTTTCTTTGCTGGTACTCGTTACTCGTTCCTCTTTCCAGTCAATGTGGGATCTCACAATTCACCCCTTTCGTGACCCAGCGTCCTCGCCAGCACACCGTCCAATGTCCATCTCCTTTGAGCCGTAATGTCTTCGCTGGCATACCACCGGTGTTGGACTCTGATATCATATGTAACAGTCAAAGTCCACCACTAGCAATACGGTGTTGGACTCTGATATCATATGTAACAGTCAAAGTCCACCACTAGCAATATTGTTATTTCTAGGCTTTTTCTTTCGGACTTCCCCTCAAGAATTTTAAAATGCATTTATAGGGAGAGATTTTCATATTTTTATAAAAGAAAATGTCTCGTTTTTGGACTTCCCCTCCCTTCAAGAGTTTTAAAATGCATTTATTAGGGAGAGATTTTCATATTTTTATAAAAGAAAATGTCTCATTTCTCTCCGATTGATATGACTAATTGAACCCTCGTAGCCATTCTTGTACTTAAAACTATTAATAGCTTGATGGCATTCATAATTGAATTGTATGTATGATTTTATTATTATTATTATTATTGTTTCTTGTCTATATTTATATTGTCAGTTGGTAAATAATAAAACATAAGTTGATGCAACCACTAATGTATAAATATTATTATTTGATTGCAAAACTGAACCAAAGTTTCCACTTTTTTCCTACAAATTGTATATAAATGTAGAAGGACAATAATCAAGCATCTAATCCATACATTTCCCTACTCTTTCCAACATTACAATAGTAAATACATTTGACACGATTATTCAACCTGAATAAAAACTCGAGATCGTTGGAGATATTTACAACTTTGCCATTGGCATGTTATAAAGGGTAGAACGAGCTGTGTAGACCAACTTTCCTGTCTTTTGAAGTCTGAAATCTATAGCAACTACATTCAAATGTTTTCCACTCCTTAAAATAGAAGCATCGATTATGACCTCTGCCTGCAAGAACGGTTTTTTTTATAAATAAAACATCTTGCTAAAGTATCGAGGCCGGGACAAATAATCGAGTAAAAATGTATGTCAAGCTTGGATATTATCATCATAAGTAAGCTACTTGAACATTCAAAACTATGTTTCCTCTGCATAACTTGAATACCAAATTTCACAATGTTTCATGCATGGGATTATAGAACATATGCTCAACTTTTGGTAGATGGTGATACCATTATTTGAACAACAAAATGACATCGAAATACTATCCTACATATCCTCCATAACTTGATCCGTACCAAAGTCTGAATTGAACACTTAATGCAATCAAGTACTTATAACAGCTAAAACCCTTCTTATTTACATCATACAAACTACTGTGCTTGTATCCTAGAACACCCAAGCGAACTCGGTCTGATTTGTGGGTTCTAGTTTTGATGTTGACATCAAAAATATTATAAAGTTTGACAATTATCGTTTAATTCTTAATCTCTCAATTAAAAAACTCAGGGCACTCTCAATTAGAAACTCGGGATCTAGACGAGCGTACTTCCACTTAGTAACGGTATTTTTCCACAAACTAATAAGGGCAAGATTGTTGGAAGTGAGCCATGAAGATACCCCAACCAATAATAAATAAGCACAATGGTAGGATGAGTTTCAAATCATAAGAAGATAAAGTGGTCCCATCCCAATTTATGCAACCCTCCAGTCCATGCATGGCTACACAAAAGTTTGCTGGTCCAGGAAAAACATTCTCAATTTCTCAGGGCTCTATCAACTGACAAATCTCAACATTCAATTTCTATTACGAACTTCCCAGCTTTCAAAACTGAAAAAGAAAAAAAGACCCCCCAAGAAAACCAGCTGAATTAACCAATTCAGTTCATTCAATTTGAAGTGTCATTCTTGATGATTCGTTCGGATTTTGTTGGTTCAACTAGCTCATTTCAATTTTGGTTCGACTCAGTTTTGGTCAATTCGGTAGACAATTCTGTCAACTTAACTAACCTACTCAAATAATCAGGAGGAAGCACAACAGTAACTTAAATTTTACTCACATTTGGTGGAGCGCCTGAGAGATAAGAGATGCTTAGTTCCCCAAGAAATAACTCCTTATCCTCTGCCATGACAGTTCGGGCACAAGCAATTGATGAGAACTCAGCAGCCGCAGCAACAAATCCTCCATGTAGAAAACCATAACGATTCTGAAATTATACAATAGATATCTCTGTTTAATGTGAATGTAAACAATATTGATGTTCATTTTTTATTTCATATAACAGATGAATCCACCTGACCGAAAGCTGATAGAAGCAGATGAAGAGAATTTGAAAAATCTCAGCAATCAAAACTCAAACATACCAATACTAAGTTTTCAAGATCCAATAGATACTGTTTCGATTCAAATCAGGCACCAAATTTTCTCAGCATGAATTTTCAAGAACTCAAAGATATTGCTTCGATTCAAATCAAACATCGTATTTTCAAGTTCCGCAAGATATTGTTTCGATTCAAATCAGACGCAACACAAGGAAAGCACAGTATTAGAAACCGCATACCAAATTTCTCCTAAATTCGATGAGAAAACAAATCTGGATGGAGAATTAAGAAATTACGGATACAGCAGGTTTGACGGAGAGGAGGTAGGTCAGACGGCCTCGTTCGAGGCGGCGCTGCCGGAGATGACCGCGAATGATATCGGAATAGAATCCCTTGGTGTTGCAATCGTCCGGAATTTGGCCGGAACCGCCCAATCCATTGAGCAATTCTATAGTTCCGCGTAGGTCCTCTTCAGACACATCCTTTATCTGAATCGTCGGAGAGTCAAAGATTAACGAAGGAGTTGCTGAAGAAGAAGGTTTCGCCATTGTCGTTCCTCTCAACCTCCTTCGCCGCTCAATTTCAGACAATTTTAGTGCTTACAGAATCAATCGGAAAAAATACGCAAATACTTTCTGTACTGGGCTAAGCCCATACATTGGGCCCAAGCTAGACCCATATATTGGGCCCAAACGAAAGGCCCATATAAAACTCAACTAATTTCTAGGGCTCCCACGCAGAGTCCTATAAATAACCCTTTAAAGCGGCACAATGGTTTCATCTACTCCTTCGACTCTCTCTCTCCCCCTCTCTTTCTTTGTTTTATCTTGCCTTCGCACTTATAGTCGATTCACCGCCGCCGGTGATCCGAATATTTGTCACCGTTTGAGTTTCTTCTTTCTTGTTAGGTAGCGGGACAAAGCATCTTGCAGAGGATGAGGAAAATAACTGCAACAAAATGATCGAAGTATTTCGTGATTACTTTCATATTTAAGTCTCTGATGCTCTTCACTTTGTCCTGCGAGTTTTTCGAATGATTTTTCACTCATTTTTTCCTAAATCTCATCGGCTTCCCCAAGTCTATGATGTGATTTTCTTTGATATTCTTGAGGTTTGGTTGAGATATGATGCGATACATTGGTCCGTGTTTCTGAATTAACCGTGACTGAATTTCCATATAAGCACACTCTGATCTCTCCAATCTTAATAACTCTGTTTTGCCTTTCAAATTTAGAATCGAGTTCTCGGTTTTACTTTGTTCTTCCGTTTCTCTCGTTGAAACTTAGTAATTGCAATTGAAGTTCGACTTTTAAGTGATGAGCTTGCTTTTCAAATTTTGCTTTCGAGTTCTAGATTTCATTTCTTTTATCTGTTTCTCTTGTTGAAATTTAGTAATTGCAATTTGAAGTGTTGAGCTTCGATGCAATATTTAAGTTTCAGTTTTAACTATGGTTGTCAAAGAGAAGGAAGACAGCTGAAGGAGTTTGATTTGGATCTAGTCTTTCAAATTCAATGACTTTTCTGTACTCTAACTGGTTGAGCTATTTAAGGAGTTGATTTCATGATTAAGTTTTTGATAATTTTACTTTTAACATTTAACTTCCACTTTTTATTTCTGGTTTTTGTCGAGAGAAATTTGCAATATCAAGTTTGTATTTACAAGTTAATTAATCTTGGTAATAGTTATTATTATATTTAATAATTAATACTTATTATTTCGGTTAAGTTGGGTGACATAATGTCACCGTGAAGATTGATGGTCGGTGGAATTGATCTTAGTGTTGTCCTTGTTTGAAGGTTTTTATTCAGCCATTGGCGGTGGGGCAACCACTCCGGTCCTATGATTCTTTCGAATCTTCGTTTAAAGCTGCAATCGATGTTCTAATTGATCAACATTGGCAACGCTTTACCAGGCAAGTTCACATATCGGGAGCCTCTAGCCTCTAATATGTGACTCGCACACCGTGTTTGGATGTGTTCTGGAACGAATTTGGCTGGAATGCTACCTATTTGGACTCATGATGCCATTTGTGAATTTTACTTTTCGTTCTTGATTTTTTTTTTTTTTTAAATATTCCCTTGTACTAAAAATCACAATACTATTAGAAAATCATTGTAATATATTCTTTTATACAAGTCTAAGTATATATTTGAGCTAAAATTTTCCATTATTGAGTCGATCTTTAACACTTTATTTATTGTCTCCAATGTTGCTTTTGCCTTTATACAAGTGTATTGAATAATGATTTGTCAATATGTCAATGTTTATGTTATTGAATAATGATTTGACGTCACTATTTCTATATCTTTTATACCCATAAGCCATATAATCTATGAATCTAAATATGAAAGTATACCTTATTAACAAAATTATTGACAATTGTGTCCATATATCCATAAAATTTGAAAGGTTCATGCCTTAATCTAAATATGGAAATATACACTACTAACAAAATTATTAAAAATGTTGTGGATAGACGAACATATAAAATTTGAAATGTTCATACCAACAATGATTCCTTATTTTTTACCTTTGAAGCCCATTTTAAAGGTTATTTGGTTTTTTGTTTTAAAAATGAAGTTTTCTCATCTTTCTTAAGCAAAGTTCCAAGCGCCCATAAGAAAAATTAATAATAAAAAGAATTAAAGAATGATCCAAATTAAGCATTCAGAAGAGATGCAATCACCATTCATCCAAATTAGGGGTTTCCAAATGAAAAAAAATGATTAATGGTTTGAAATGGTCAAAGAAAGAAACCTTATTCCCCTCAAAAAAACATCTGACAATGTCCGAAATTGGAGATCTCCAACCACAAAGTTTTAGCTTTAGGATACAAAAAAAGCACTCTTTCCAACATAATCTGATGTATTTAAATTTACCTTTTTTTTTTTTAACACAACAAATCCAAAGCTCTAATTCCCATTCTCTTTTCTCATCCATCCCATTTCACTTACCTTCTTTTCATAATCTTGTCTGAGATCTCATCCTCAGACAACTTGCAATCTTTTTTTTTTTTTGTTTGCAGTTTCTCGAG